TTCTGGAACACTTACTAAAAGAAAACTATGCCACATTCCCCATAATCCCTATTTTCTTAGCTAACAATCTTTTCACCATTGAAGGCCTTCACACTAACGTTAAAATTATCTGTTCTTATCACCCCTCAAAAAAAGTCTGGTTAGCCCCCTTATTAATGGTCAACAAAAAACCTTTGCAAAACTATCTCCAAACTCCTATGATCTCAATGTCTTGTCAGAAATAGCCTTTGCAGAACTATCTCCAAACTCCTATGATCTCAATGTCTCTTCACTACTCCTTATTCCTAAAACATGCAATACACACCTCACATCTCTTCTTAGTATCTCCTAAACATTCTCTACCATTAAAACTGGAGTTATCTTCTGTCCCTGCTTTGAAATGGTTTTCTCCTGCTTGAAAGTTTCTACTCACCCATTAACACTCAATTTATACTCATGCCATTATTACATAAAACCATTCCTAATTATCCCAGGAAGAGATTCTGCACTCCCACTAAACTAGATTTTCAGCAAAACTGTTTCCTCAACCAGATTTTTAACTCATCATCTTTTAATGCTGGTACCAAGAATGATGCCTAGCCTAGGACAGGTAAGTACTCAACAAACATTTGCTGAATTAATATTCTCATATACATGATACCATAATTGGTGGTCAGATTCCATAAGCATTTATATAACAATTAATATGGTTAAAATAAATAGCACTTCAGCACCTTGAAAGTAAAGTAATGCTCCTTACCTATACACCTCATGTTCATTAATATACACCTAGATAACTAACCAAATGAATAAGAAGTACCATTTTCAACAAGTTTGTTAAATAGATTTTTTAACTTAGTTTGAAAAATTTGAGACATACATTAATCTGTTTGTGTGGGGAAATGTGTTTCTGAATATTCACATTCTCATTTGCAAGTCAAATAGCCATTGCCATCATAGCCAAATTATGCTATCAAGGAACCTACACTTACAGGAAGAAAAGAAAATTGCATCTCCAGTCTTGGCATTTAGGATCCCCACAATTAAGCCCCATGATACCTTATACACCTCTGCTCCTCTTCATGTGTGCTATACTCCAGTCAAAATGAACATTCTCCTTGTCTCTAGGTCTACAATCCTTCAAGTCTTGGCCCTATATCTAGTTCCACAAATTCAAATCTAATTTATCCTTTGTAGATAATTTAAATGCCACATGCTAATCCAACTCTTCTTTTAAAAGTACTCTTCCCATCTTCTCAACACCTATGGCTCTTTATCCATACCAGTATCACCAATCTTTTTGGCACCAGGGGCCAGTGTCATAAAAGTCAATTTTTCCACTGACTGGGGTAGGGGTGGGGTAAGGTGAGAGAGGGAGTAGATTTTCATAAGGAGCATGTAACCTGGACCCCTTGCTCATGCAGTTAACAGTAGGGTTCATGCTCCTATGAGAATGTAATCCACCACTGCTGAGACAAGAGGCAGAGCTCAGGCTGTGATGAGAGTGATGAAGAACAAATGTAAATATAGACAAAGCTTCACTCACCACCTGCCACTCACTTCCCATTGTGCGGCCCAGTTCCTAACAGGCCATGGACAGCAACCTGTCCATAGCTCAGAGGCTGAATCTTTGATACCATGAATACCTAGAAACCATATTTCTAGATTATGTTATTACATATCTACCTGCTCTCCCTCTATGTGACAATAGAGACAATTCTACATCTAATTCAATATTTTCCAAGTATGCAACAAGCACTAGAAAATAAAAGTCTTATGGTCAAAAAAGTGTAGGAAATGAAATTTCTACAATCTTTCACATACTAAATTATACTATAAACATGAGCGAAACAGACTTTACCCATTTCCATAACTTACTTGGCCTTTGAACCCTTTTGGTACAGCATACTAGTAGGATTAACACTTCTACGGCATGCCCTTTGAGACACGCAGCCTCATTAACTTTGACACCTTATCTTGCGCTTAACAGGTACTCAACAAATGTTGTATTTGTTGAATAAATAGATTAACCCTAGTTATTAACAGAGAACTCTCCCATAAAGGTAGCCTACCCAGGGAAAAGGAAAGACTCTTTAAGAATTATAGTAAAAATTGGCAAAAGAGAAGGGAGCATCCTCAACAGTGTAACAAGATGAGTATTTACAACAACAGATAAAGGATTTCTCACCCCAACTATTTTGTATATGTAGATAATACAATTAATCCACACTATAAAGGTAATAATTTAAAAACACTGTGGATGGATCCTTTGAGAAAGCAATTGAAACTAAAAAAGTATTCTGGACAATTTCCAGAATAAACACTATCACAATAACTAAATCATCAATCATTTCTGTCAGCTGAGGAAATACTGCAGTTTAATTTTGCTGTATGATGTTTATACTTAAAAAGAGTCAAAGGATTAATAAGATTTTAGAAGAGGTAAAGTTAACCCAGTGATACCTAATGGATTTGAAGCTTCATTTTGATTTCATTCAACTTCTCTTCTTCAAAGTGAAAAAAGAAAACGCAATTCTAATTAATAGTGCATTAAAATCAGAATGCATAAAAACCTTGACTACATCCTGCCTTCTATTTCTTACAGTTGTGCAGCTATGGCTAAGAAAGAGAAACAAGTGAAAAAGACATTCCTTCATTTATCTTACAACCTAGATCCTATGGCAGAACTACAGGAAACTGCAGCAGTAATGGGGGGGGGTAGGGAGTTTTTTGTTTTCTTTCTTCCTTATAACACAAAGAGGTCAACTTTTCACTTGGGAATGAAAACTTATTCAAGAGCAGAGTTCATTGCAGGGCTAGAGTCATAGCTATACTGGAAAAGAGAAATATATTTCTTAATTATGGCTATTAACACTTGTAGCTATTAATATGCTTTTAATTTTAAGGAAGCGACATGCTACATAAAGTCAAAAAAGTCAACATGAATTAAGATCTATAAATAGATATATTTAAATTCATTCTAAGACCACTCTGGCCACAGAATTCAGCCTCTTTCTTCACTGAATCTTGCCGGCTACCACTGTAACTGAAGTCAATAAATTAAACCTTGTTTAGTTCAACAATGTGACTAACTGGCAAGACTCTGCAAAACATAATACAGTATGTATTTCTCCACCTCTCCACCCACCTACCTCTGAGGGTGGGGACAAGAAATCAAATATATTTTCAGGTAAGTTACTGAACTCATGTGCTCAAAAACTTAAAAATATATGTTATATGGTCCAAAACACAAATGGGACTGTCAAGGATTAGCTCAAGAGTTAATGTCTCACCAACTATATGACAGTGTAACAGTTTTCTGTTAATAGCAAGCTTGTCACAAGATACACTAGGTAAATTAAAGATCTCAAACAACTTAATAGTTTTCTGCCCTTATAAGATGTGAAAAATAACAGGAGGAGCTACAACACTACTTAGTATCATGCCCCAGGCACAAAGTAAAAGTTCTTAACAAAAATGTGTCCCTGATCTCTGTCAATCAACAGATGGCACAACTTTGGAACTGGAGAAATTAATGTAGTATATCTCCCAACACTTAAATCTGAGAAAATACAACTAATACTCCTTTTTTTTAAATTTGAGACAGAGTCTCACTTTGTCACCCTCAGTAGAGTGCCACGTTATCACAGCTCACAGCAATCTCCAACTCTTGGGCTTAAGCGATCCTCCTGCCTCAGCCTCCCGAAGTAGCTGGGACTACAGGCGCCCACCACACGGCCCAGCTATTTTTTTGTTATAGTTGTCATTGTTTAGCAGGACCGGGAGGGGTTCCAACCGGCCAGCCTCAGTGTTTGTGCCAGCCTCAGGGTGGTGCTAAACCACTGAGCTGCAGGCAAGGAATCCACAACTGATATTTCTGAAGTCGTCTTTGTACGCATAATCATTCACAAATTACTCTCTCACTACAGGTTATTGTAACAATGGCACACGTTATTTCTCTTAAGAACACTATCTACCCCAAAGCTGACTAAAACTCAAAATATGGTAAAACACATGTAAAGTTCCATTTGTAATAAAAAACCAAGGCATTCAAATTTTAAGACACAAAAACTGCTAAATCTTAGGGTGAAAAAGGAAGCAATTTTCACTTACGTAGAAATTCCCTATTGTCAACTGCAGGCTTCTCAATTACTACACTTTGTTACTCAACGTGAAACACATACACACCCAAAAAAAGGGTCGTTCCTTCCTTTTTCATCACATCTGTCTTCATTTCTTTCGCATAAGGAGATGTTTTAAATGTTTCATTGTTTTGTAATCCCATTAGAGCTCCTATTCTATTATTTAAAACATCACAGCTTCTTATGACGGACTTCACGAAATTAAATTTTAAGGTTTTGATTCTAAAAACGCTTAAGGAAATACATTAGAGGTTGTCTATCACGCATTAAGGGGTCCCTAAATTGCAGTCATGCATGATTTTATAACACACTTAAATTCCCTAAGTTCCGAACACATATTCATTTTAGTTTGGCCTCCCTTCAGATGAAAGAACTAAGTAGGCCTTAATTGTCCTAAAAATTGATCGAAGCCTTTTTAAATGTAAGGGTTAAGTGACAAGCAAATGAGGGCCACTTCTAACTCAACAAGGCCCCCTCGGAGTCCCCATTGTAGGTGGCCCCTGTACACAGCCGGGAAGACCTCCGACACTGAACGGCTCCCGGTGCGCCTGCCCGTCCTGGGTCAGCCCTCCCCACTGCTCAGCCGATAAGTCATTTTCCAACGCCGCTCCTCGCAAAGGCCCCTCCGGCCCCAGCAAACCAAACTATTCCTCGGCCTTTCTGGACCCTGGGCCCCTCCCGGAGGGGGCAGGTCCGCCGCGGCCACCCCTCCCCTCCCCCACCCGCGCGCCGCGCGTCGCCGCCACCGCCACCGCCCCTTGCGTCCCTGCCTCTCTCCCGAGGCTTCTCCCCGGCACCCGCGAACGCCGCTCCTCTACCCGCCCACCTCGCTGCCCGCAACCCTCGGCCTGCCGCTCCCGGGAGAGCCCCCGGACCCACCTCGAAAAGCTCGGCCGTGGTAGCCATCAGGGCCGGCTGCGAATCTCGCCCCGCACTGGACGCAGTCGGCGCTTCACATGCTGCGCCTCAGCGGCGCCGTGCACAGGTCCCAGCTCCGCTCGGCGTCTCGGGCTCCAGGCCGCCGAGGCTTCTCCCACTCCCCACAGAGCCCAAGCGGGGCGGGACAGCGGCCATAAAGCGAAGCCGCAGACGCCCGTCAGCTGCCTCCCGGCGCCTCCCGCGCCGCTCCCATAGTCACCGCCTCACACGCCGGAAGCCGAGCGACGCGCGCCCCGGAGGCTGTCGGGAGGGGCAGGCGAAGGCGGCCACAGCGGGCAAGTGAGGGGGCGCGTCGCTCGGTTACACGAGGAATTGTGATCCTTGCGGGCCACCGTCCCGGAAGTAGGATTTGGAGGAGGAAAGTACTGGGCCTGCTAGGGATGAGTAAATTCCTCCAGGTTCTGGGTGGGGATTCTTAGAACTTTTTGTGCTCTGTATGGAGCGGAGAGACTCAGAGGATTTAGTCACCGCACTCACAGGAACTAGCTTCCCTGCTGAGCGGGCTAGCAGGTGGCGGAGGAGGAGCCTCTGAGGAAGCCAGTCTGCCTGTTCCGCGGCCGCGGTTTCTTCCGAGATGAACTGACGCTTTTGTGGCTTACCATGGCCCAGCGGGCAGTGTGGCTGATAAGCCACCAACCGAGAACTGCACTTTGTGGCACCGTGAGATTCTCAAGGTAAATGCGAGTCTGAATCCTCAGGGATGGTAGCAGAGTTTTGTGGAGCACTGTGTGCGAGGTCAGTCACTAATAGCTTCGTGACTTGGGCAAGTTACTTAACGTCTATTTCATGTTATAATGGGAATCTTAGTACTCCTACCTCAGTGTTGTGAGAATAAAGTTAGTTTATGCCTGGCGCATATTAAGTATCACAGTATCACGGTATATGTTTGCTAATATTAAGTGTTATTGTATCTTAAAATGAACTACAACTGCTTAGGATGTATATGGAGATGACAGAGGCAAAGGAGGAAAACTTACTCTATTTCTACTTTTATTGATAAAATCACTCAAGGATAGTTTAACTCATGCTACTGCCAAGTCCTTGCTAAGCTCTATGACTGTTATTTTCATCTTTCCAATATGTGTCACTGCTAGAAATCATCAGATAGTAATTCACTTTTTCAATGATTTAAGTTGATCTCGTCTCAGTTAAAACTTGCTCTAGTTTATCAAAATAGCCTTGACGAGAACTGTGAGTGGCAGGCGAGTAATCTGTTTCACCTTTTTTTCATGGTATCCACTGATAATCGGTTTTTGCTAGCAATTTCTTCTTCTGCAAGAAAAGCTTGTAGTGAAGTGGTAGTAGAATTCAGATTGAAGCAGATAAAGGTGAATGTTTAAATGGAAAGTTGACAATGTGGATATGAAAAAATCCCCTCTTGGCAACCTAAACAGTTTTGGTACTGAGACATCAGATTGGAGTTTACCATTCCCCCCCCCCCCAAGATTCTTGGCTTACATTTGTTTTTGTTTTCATACCTTAAGCCTGGGAGGTTAATATTCTTTAGTCCATAGCTCATCAGCCCCATTAGTCCATACAAGGTGCCCTTCATTTTTCTTATATCTTCCCTTTGGTTACCTATTTCTAACTGCCATTCCCATCTCCTTGGAATATTAGCATCCTGTTTTTGGCATGTATTTGTATGTGCATTTTTCAAATTACATAATTAAGTGTGCTTCAGACTTTGTTCCCTTTTCCTTCATTTGTCATATTTCTCAGCAGTATTTTCAAGAAGCATCTGTGTGTCTTACATTCATCTAAAGCAGCACTGTCCAAAAGCATTTTCTGAAGTGGTGGACATGGGAGATCTTCTAAGTCTGTGCTGGCTAGTATTATAGCCACCAACCACGTGTGACTGTTGAGCTTTTGAACTCTAGGTAGTATAACTGAAGAACTCAGTTGTTAATTTTGTCTGATGTTAATTAATTTTAATTTAAGTTTGAAAAGCCACATGCGGCTAGTGTCTACCACATTGGCCAGTGCAGACGTAGGCTTTTCTATTAGGCTGTAGTACTCCATGGTGGTTTCCATCTTCCATATTTTATCTGTCCCCTTGCCTGGTGATTATCTTCCAAGTTGCCTTCAACTCTCAGCCATCATAAACTGCTGAAGGAGACATCCTCAGGTCCATGGGATGAATCTTTAGTTAATTCTAACTAAATATTGCCAAATATAATTAGTTCTTCAAGATGCTTTCACTCATTTACACACTTACCTGTTATGAGTGAAGGTTCCTGTATCTGCATTATTTCCTAACACTTATTCTAAGTTTTGCCAATAAAGGATACCTTTTTTCTATTTGTATTTTTCTGTGAAGCAATTATTGTTAGTCCTTTGAGTTTAGTCCTTTGAGTTTCCTCTTCTGTGAATTGCCTGTATGTGTCTGCTGTCCTTTTTCTCTTTGAAAGTTGCTGGATTTTTCCCCTTTATTTGTAGGGGGAGATTTTTGTGTATTCTTGATATTAGTTCTATATCATTTTTAGATATTACAGTTAACTTTCTTTTTTTTTTTTTTTTTTTTTTGGCCAAGACTGGGTTTGACCCTCCGGCATGTGGGTCCTGTGCCCTACTCCTTTGAGCCACAGGTGCCACCCACTTTCTTTAACTTAGAATTGCCAGTTAGCTTTATGTTGCCCTTGGTTAAACAGAAATCACTGTTTTTGAAGCAAAGTTTTCAGCATTTTTGATATTTAATAAAGTTTTTTCAGCCTTTATTTCCCAAAAGTATCTTTCCATATTATCTTCTCAACTTTATAATTTCAGGTTATATTAGTCTTTAATCCACCTGTAGTCCATATTTGGAGAGTTGTTTTGGTTTTGTTGTAATTTTTTTTTTATTGTTGGGGATTCATTGGGGGTACAAGAAACCAGGTTACACTGATTATATTTATTAGATATACGCCCTCTTATAATTGTGTCTTTCTCCCAAAAGATGTGTCACACAGCAAGACCCCACCCCCTATAGTCCATATTTGAATAGAATGCTAAGTAGGAATCCCATTTTGCTTTTTCTCTGTGCTGCAATCCAGTTTTTCTAATATCATTTTTCAAGCAGTATATCATTGCTTCATTAATTTGTGGAGATGTTGATAATATTTATTACATCCCCATATAAACATTGACCTGTCTCAGTTCTATTACTTTATCTTTTTTATGCCAACACTATACTGTTTTTATATCTTTTTGCTTTGCAGATTATGTTAATATCTCACAGAGGTTAAGATTTTTATTGCTTACAAAAATAATTTTCTTAAGAAAGTCATTCTAGGTTTCAGAATGCTTTCAGTAAAATTCAGATGTGTTCAGATGGCCTTTTCAACATCTCTGTGAAGGCAGAGATTTGGATTCAAATAATTCACTTTAATTCTGTATCATTGAATTAGTTAAACTTTAATATTTTCAGTTGTCTGGCCTCTTAGAGCTGGTGGTAGCACTAAATTGACATGCACTGACATATTACCTAAATGTATGCCAGTATTTCAGATTTAAGAAGACAAGTAGTCTTCCCTCTATCTATTTCCCACAGTAAAACTTGGTTTAGATACTGGTTTAAAGATTTGTTGCCCAGTAGTAATACTATCAGCTTAAGTCTGGCTTAGGATGATATTGTACTTCATAGTTGGAGGGCCATTTAAGGTTTAAATATGGTTTTAGCAAAAGCCTAGAATAAATTGGAAATGATAGATGGAATCAGCCAGCAAAATATTGAGCACCTATTGAAGCATTGTATAAGATCCCAGATTAATTTATTCACAGTGAATCATGATATTTTTACCTTAAAAACTTTATCCTGCAGATAACTAGAGAATAAGACACTGGACTAGAGTTTAGTCCAAAGTTCTCTCCTGTTCTTACCCAGAGACTTAGAGAGAGAACTGGCATTGACCTGCTTGGTTAGTGCTGATGTGTTGGCTGATTCTTCCGCTTTCTTTCACAAGAAAATGCACCAGAATGTGAATCAGTGAGGTTTACTCATACATGGATAACTGTCAATACATTCTTATTTTTATTTTAAAAGGTTATTAGTAAACATTAAAATTTTATTAAAACAACTGTTTTAGGTATATTTTTGACCCTTGACAAAAACTACCACCCTTTATTTATTTTATAAATAAGAAAATAGGCTAAAGGAAATTAGGTGATCTACTCAAAAGTTATAAGCTAATAGATGACTTTGTTCTGGACTTTGGAATGGAGGGGGAAGGAATAAGGAAAAGTACATTTTTTGGAACTAAGAAAACATGATCTAACAGATTTCTGCAAATTAGTAAAAGTAGAAAGGAAAAGGATGAATTAGTGACTTACTATTCAACCCAGAACATGCAAATCACAAAGGATTATTCAGATTTTTGTGTTTTCATTACCTAATAGTATCTTCCAAGACCATAGAGATAAACCATTGTTACTAAAAGAATCTTCCATATTTTTGTAGGGGTTGGTCAGAAGATTCAGCATACCTGTTATTCACTCAAGATTGAATAGAATGGAACATTTTTTTTTTAATTGCACCATTTCAACTAGTGAATCTAAAATCACAGAGTGTTAAATTGAAGTGCTTCTTTGTTCATGCTCTACTAAGATGAAATCAGAAAAAAAATTCTTAAAGATACCTTAAGTGGTCCAGGTATACACTTATTGCTCACCATTTAAGAGGGAATCTTAAATTGCTGTGAAAACGAGGATTTTGAATTACAATCATTTACTTACTTAAAAAATTAAACTTGAATTGAACATATTAAATAATAGATAACATACAAAGTATCAAACAGTTACTCCAATAAGAGCTTAACATATAATATAATACATTTTGGTTGTTGGCTATCTTGGGTATGTGTATTTGTTATTACTATCTGCCTTGTGTTTTTTGCTTTTCCAAAACTATTCCCTTTTGTTTTATTTGGAAGAATCATTTATGATCTTTCTGTTTCCATGATGCAGACGTTATCCAACTGTTGAAAAACGAGCCAGAGTCTTCAATGGAACAAGTTATGTATCTATTCCGGAGGATGGTCCATTTCTTAAAGCATTACTCTTTGAACTTAGATTATTGGATGATGATAAAGGCTTCGTGGAGATTCGTGACAGCTGTTCGCACATCAATAAAACGTCAATCTATGGACTCCCCATAGGAGGTGAAGAACTCTGGCCAGTTGTTGCTTTTCTGAAGAACGGCATGATATATGCTTGTGTGCCACTAGTAGAACAAATTCTCTCTCCTCGTCCACCATTAATTAGCATTAGTGGAATTTCACAAGGTTTTGAACTTCTTTTTGGGATACAGGATTTTCTTTACTCAGGTCAAAAAAGTGACACTGAGCTAAATACAAAATTGAGCCTACTGCCTGACTTGCTTCTACAGGCTTGTCCATTTGGTACTTTATTAGATGCCAACTTACAGAATTCATTGGATAATATTCATTTCACTTCAGTGCCTCAGCCACAGAAACAGCCAGCCTGGAAAGCTGGAACATACAAAGGAAAACCACAAGTTTCTATTTCTATCACTGAAAAGGTAAAATCCATGCAATATGACAAACAGGATATAGCAGATACGTGGCAAGTTGTTGGAACAGTCACTTGCAAGGTGAGGTTTTCTCTGTATTTTCTTTATTATACCATTTAATATATATGGAGAAAAGTAAAATTTGCATAACATTGTTGATTTTTACCTTAAACATCAGTCGTTAGCTGGTAGAGTCATGTGAAATTTTATGTAATCTTTTTTCATTTCCTACCAGTTATGTTGGTTATTTATTGCTGTGTAATGAATCTCATTACCTCAAAATAAACATTTATTATTCTCATAGTTCCCATGGGTCAGAACTTTAGAAGCAGCTTAGATGGGAACTTCTAGTGTAGAGTCTCTCATGAGGCTGTAGTCAAGATTTCAGATAAGTCATCTGAAGGTTTGACTAGGGCTAGGGAAACTACTTGTAAGGTAACTAACTCCCATGGCTGGCCAGTTGATAGTTATTGGAGGGAGACCTCAGTTCCTTTTCACATGGCCTTCTCAGCAGGCTACTTATGTGTCCTTCTAACATGGTGATGGCATCTCTCAAATGATCTGAGAGAGACTAAGAGAGGCAAAGACAGGCAAAAGCTATTCTTTTTATTATGTAGACTAGAGGTCACATAGGATCACTTTCCCTGTTTTCTGTCATTAGAAGCAAGTCATTAAGAGTACTCCATAATTCAGGGAGTGTGGAGTTAGCCTCCATCTTCTGAAAAGGGTAGTTATTAAAGTATTTGTAAATGTATTTTTAAATCACCATGCCTGTTTTCTATTTTCTTAAAAGGAGTGAAATTGACATATCTCTGACATATCTAAAATATTTTAAAGGGCTCTTATTTTATTTAAACAAGTCAGTAAGTTAACTTAGGGTTCTCTGATTTAAGGTTAGAAAATAGGAAAGACAATGGAAATAATAATACAGTTAACAGTAAATAATACCGTGTTGAATAAATGATCAAAAATTAAAATTCTCCAAGTAAACTTTCTATAAGCATGCATTAGTAGTATTCTCAGATGTCTGTATTATTCTATCTTCCTTTATTCTCTACACTTCAATGAATGTATACTTTTTATATATCAAACAATGTTAGATGGCTATATAAACAGATAAAAGTAGATTTCAGGTGAGAATTAGAGCAGTCCTGAGAGACGAATTGCATATTTTACATTTCTTTTTAACTTTAAGTTGAACTAAAAGTTTCTGTGTCTATTTTAAACTCACTTCTGTGGTCAAGAATATATCCCAATCATTCGTAACTGCTGTAAATGGCTCCAAAATTGAGGCATTCCTGGATTATGTCATTCTTAAGTCTTAAAAACAGTTGAATATTTTCTCTCATAAGTTTGGTGAAATAAAGAGAGTAAAACTCACCATTTCTGTGAGAATAAACAGGAAGTATGTTGTGTGTAATGTCATGGTAATAACATCATGGTGTTGAAATGTCTGTGCTCATAGATAGGCTGACTCTAATTTATTGTTTATGGAAATTTCAGATTGATACCTATTCTTAATCTTGGTACAGATTATTATGATAGACAACTTCCTTCTTTAAAAAACTTTAAAAAAGGGACAGAGGTATACCTTAACCTGCACACTGACTATTTCTTACTACTATTTTTTTGCAGTTTTTGCCCGGGGCTGGGTTTGAACCCACCACCTCCGGTACATGGGGCCCAACACCCTACTCTTTTGAGCCACAGGTGCCACACCACACTAAATGTTTCTTTAAGGTTGTATGTAAATAGTATAACTGTTAGCCAAACATTTTTTAAGTACTTCAGGAACTTACTATTTAAGGGAGTTTTATTGTGAGGCCCATTGTTAACTGGAAATTATCTTTATCTTATCGTCCTCTAGTAGAAAACCTGGTGAACCGGCTTGGTGCCTGTGGCTCAAGTAGCTAGGGCGCCAGCCACATACACCCAGGGTGGCAGATTCGAATCCAACCCGGGCCCACCAAACAACAATGACGGCTGCAACCAAAAAATATAGCCGGGCGTTGTGGCGGGCGCCTGT